GGCAAACATACCGACAAAATTTCAGCCACTGTTTTTTTGGCAAATTTTCGAGTTAGCACAGTGCCAAGTAGCAGACTTCGACGTGATCGTACGCGCTGCACAAATGTGCGCGACAGCTGATTTTGAAACCTTTAGCTCGCACATGCACAGCGAATATTTCTGCAAATTTTCAGCTTTTTACCTTGCATGGTTCTCAAAATCGTTTCCCGCCAAAGAAATTTGCATATTTTTCGGAGGTCTGTATGCGGGGTCTAGGCGCATGCAGGGGAAGATCTTAAAAAGGTAGGATGATATACGGGGTAGGAACATAGACTCAAAATTTCGGCTTCCAGCCTTCTTGGATGCTAAGGTGAAAGTGAGTGACAAAATGCACTCGCTTCCGAAAACACACATACACACACAAACACACTCCTACACGCACACAGATATCCTCTCGACAATATACGTTTTTGCTGACTGCGCTATAGCGCTGTACAGCAAAAAGACATAAAAACCACTTTTCAAATGTATTTATGCAAAGTTGCATATTTACAGATTTCTTAAAAAAGAACAGGCGCCTGCAAAAAAGGATAACATTATCTTACAGTAATTTCACACTGTAATGTTTCTCGAGTCACTCAGATCCGAGGAAATCGTGACTTCACCACATACTTTAATGGGATTTTGTTTTGTCCGCTTTGATCATGAAGGAATATTCAACTTCTCTTTTCTGCTTCAGTAACCCACAGGTAATGTTAGCCAGATTATTGATTTAAATTTTCTACTGCATTTCTATTTGGGCACGAACTGACCTCATTTGGATCGACGGCCCTTAAAGAGAAGCGGATGAAAAAAGAAGGAAGCAGGATGCGTCCCTCTAGCTATCATAGATACTGAAACACTTGGTGGAGGATGAAATCCTGATTAACAAAATCAGCCGGCAAAGGAGTAAATTTCGTGGGGCGATTGCCCGCGTTAAAATGGTAAGTGTTGAGTGGCGTGGAAAGCGAAAAATTCTTGGAGTGAGTAGTTAGGCCATGCAGAAATGCCAAGTCTGGATTGCTGCGACCTCTTTTCATGGGAAAAGAGTACCGTAACCTACTTCACTTTTCTAAAGCTTTGCTACGATCGTTGGGTTTATTAGTTTCGTCTGGTCGCTATGTATACCGTTCGCGTTTGCCGCCCTAATGCGACAAATCTGCCGTAATTCGGGCCCGGGCCAGCCCATGCCGATTTTCCATGTTCAGCGTCGTACTGATCAAGACAAGTGGAAGTATGCGCAACACTCGGCATATGCGCATAACGAGCAAAGCATTTCTGGATGCTTCCGGGGAACATTTTCATTACGCAGCACGCAATATCCTCATGCCGGATCAAGATTGCAGCAATATTCGTCAACGGATTCAGATTACAGCTAATTGCAACAGCAATCCGAACATAATCCGGATAGGAAAATGTGGCTGGCGTGTAATCGTGAGTAACATTGATATACTTAAGGCACACCGGCAGCACGTAAAAGAAAAGAGTGAAAGCACATGAGATACCCATTGTCACAGTAAGCTTGCGTTGGCGCTGAGTAAATACCCGTAACGATGTTTCATCCTGAAACAGAGGATCGTAGTTTTGGTCCCGATTTGAATTTCTGTATATACTTTTCGAAAATAAACTTCTCAAATTTTATCGAGCCACGCACAGTTAGACAGTATTAATCTGTGCAAACAAAGTATTGTATTATCTTAAATTGTGTCACAGTAAATACAGAGGAGAACATAGACTTTTTTCTATCGTTTAATTCGTTTAGGGTTTGTTTTGCTAGCTAACACGCCAAAATCCCGAGGCAGCTTTATCGGACCACGGTCCTGCTTAACTGAAATGAAAGCTTTTGAGTAGTGAAAAAGTGGATCAGGTAATGATTACCGGAACATCCAAAATTAATAATTGCGGGCTAACTACAACTAATGGATGAGATGGGCATTAAAAGTAATTTTTTCCGAATTTGCGGTTCATGTGGAAGCAGGTTCTTTTAACTTTGGATTGCCGGAACAATTTGAGACTCAAAATAAATGGTGGGGTTCAATTTTTTTGTGTTTTATTTTAGTTGCATCCGAGAATTTAACATAACAGCCTGTCTAGTAGTTTTTGGAAGTCTTTGTAAAGGCTTGGAAGACTCATAAATTTGCTGTACTCTTTAACATAATAAAAAACAAGTAAAACTCACACGCTGAACGCTTTTTATGCGGCTAATTTGTTTTCTTGTCAGCAAGAAAACAACTCCATACAAGATAACACCTAATAACGGCGCAAAAATCATTATCAGCATTACGATTTCGGCATGAACCGGTTTCAAAACTTCTCCTGTCCTGTAAGACAATGAAAATAATCTTCTGGAACGAAAAAAACACGTTTTTAGTAAATTTGCGAGAAGTAACAAAAAATTAAGAAAAGTTTTAAATACATAACGAAGGGCTGCACTGAATGGCATTGTGCAAGGAATGGTGTAACGAGCGGGAACAGTATGCATAGAAATTCTTTATTCTCAGTAATTTCCTGATCACTACAAGTTTCTCAATGGAGCCCTTTATTAATGTATAGTATCGCCTTGAATGCCGATCAGTCTTCTCAAAAAAATCTTATGAGAGAGGAATGCGGATGAACTCAACCAGCCTCACTTACCAGCATAGGTTTGACATGATTGTTTCCGTATCATCGAATGATAAAATATATCCAACTATAGAGGACAAGCATACAGATCCAAAATAGAAAATAATCTTAAAAGGTTGTATCAATATGGACTCGGATGGCTACGGCAAATACAACAATAGAAGAATTTGTGACTACAGCGGTGGAAACGGCCCACAGAAAAGTTTCTAGAAAACTCAAATCTTCCTAAGATTGTATGCAAAGAG